CTTTAGAAGGAAGGAGGGGACGCGACTTCCAAGACATTTACATTTATTCATTTAGCTCACGCTTTCATCCAAAGCGACTTACAATTTCCATGTATGTCAGAGGTCGCACGCCTCTGGAGCAACTAGAGGTTAAGTGTCTTGCTCAGGGACACATTGGTGTCTCACAGTGGATTCAAACCTGGGTCTTATCCACTCTGCCAACTCCACCAGACGACGGAGGTGTTAGCTAACGTGTCCTCGACCACTGGAATGGCGGAATAACCCTGCTTCACAGAACCCATGTGATTGTTGAAGTCAGCGGATACCACATTAGTCAGACAAGCGGAGTAAGGCTGCTTCCAGGATCTAGAAATCTCGTGATGCAGATCACTGAAAAAGGGCAGCTTTAGATTAGCTTTAGTTTAGACAGATGTGACTCACGGGGCTCATCAGGCCAGTCGATAGCAAGTTTATATAATGTTACGATATAAGAGCATCGGGGTGGCCCCGTGCCATCAGCCAATGAATTGGCGGGATTCTATAGGGGCTTCAGACAATCGGCACACCCACATGGTGTTCCCACTGCGTCTTAAAGCTACGCAGTGTTGAGTGAACCTATGAAAGTGAACAGCTCTTGCTATAGATATTCTAGTTGCATGTTACAATAAAATACCAAGCATTACGTTATTCTCCTGAATCTAAAATGTAGTATGCGCATCAGGAAAAAGGTGGATAGTTATATGGAACAAGATTTTGGATCAATGAGATTTCACATTGTGCGGGGCTATCCAGGGTGACACCAACACAAGTGAACTACCAACAAAATGTCACATGGCTGGTCAGGACACATTTTGTTGGACGATTTTGCCAGTACTGGTAAAACATCTACTCTAAAATAATAGCAATAGATTACCATTTAAAAGTCTGGGATCAGTATGTTTTGTTTTGTTTTAAAGAAACTAAATTTTATTCAGCAATTAAATGATCAAAAGTGACATTAAAGACATCCAAATAAATGCTGTTCTTTTTAAACTTTCAATTAATAAAAAAAATACATGACAATACAATACAAAATTATTAATTTATAATATATTAAGCCATAGCTCTGATGAATTATAAGAAATATTTCTTGATCACCAAATCAGTAGATTCGAAATTGCCATCACACAAATAAATTACATTTGAAAATATATAGGATTTGTAATAATATTTCACAATATTTGTACTGTCTTCACATTTACTGTCACACAGTGGTAATGGTGAACATAAGAGACTTTCAAAAACATTATAAAATCTTTCCAAACCCAGACTTTTTGTGTGAGTATGCTATAAAATATATTATGTCAGGATATAGAGCAATTAATAATTGTGGTATAATACAGTATAAAACGATTTAATATATAGAACATGTTTATATGATATATATATATATTTTAGAACCCTAAGCAGTTACGGCATCTATGTGTGACCACCAAAATGTCTTGCCACTTCAGGGTCATGCCTGTTCAGGGCAAAACTATTATTTAAAGCTTTTTGCTTTGTGTCAGGTCTGGTAAGGACATTGTGTTAGCTAGAGGTGGGAGAGATGTATACAGAGAGGAAATGATGTCTCTTTAAAGCATCTACAGGGGAAGAAGAGACAGCAGTAAGGAACAAAAGGTGGGAGGAATGATTTTAGGAATCTGTCTCTTTCTGTCTGCAAAGGAAGTGATTGAAGAGAGCAGAATCCTTTCATATCAAAGAGGTGCAGAGACATTTCAGTGTTTTTAACATTCCAGATATTCAAACATCCTTAACAGCATCCTCTCGGCTCCTACTTCCCAACCGCACATGCTCACTTTCCACTACGTTATAAATTCCAGCAGAAAAGGCCACTTATTCTGTCATAAATCTCCTCTTGCCACTTTCAAATTACAATGATGTATTTGCAAAACGACCATGCCAAGTGTAGAAAAAAAAAAGGCAGGAGCGGGAAAGAAAAAAAACTCCCCATCTTTTTATGAGTCAACAGGGTGCATACAGTGGGTGGTTTGTATCTACACTGCATACAATTTTTTTCCTTTTTTTTTCTTTTCAGACAGGGGGACGGTGTGCACCCGCAACAATGTCACTGACAGTTTCCGCACCCTGATCTCATCTGTTCCGGCCTGTGCACTCCACAGAAACTACTTAACTTTCATTAAACCGCGTTTGATATCACCTCTGAGAAGAAACGCAAGCTGCACAAATGCTCATCTGCTCCCCTTCATTCGATTCGATACCTTTTTTTCTTTCTCCCAGACGGTGCCTTTCTCATAGTCCTTGTCTTGTATTATCCTTCTTATAGACCTTATTCAGAGCAGCGACATGACAGGTGTGAAAGCAAGGATGTGAGGGATAGACTTGCCGTGTTTTCAATGGCATCCGATGTAAAAAGCTATATAAAGCTTCTAGATCACTTGTTATAATTTTACACAGCTCATATTGTCGGGAGTTTTTTGTCGACTGAAATTTCTTGGAAATATATTTTTGCTGCGTTTCGTCATCAGAACAATCCAAAATCACCTTAAATAATAGTAACCCACTGAAGAAATGTATGTCTATCCCTCACAACCTTGCTTTCATTCCCGTTAAAATCAAATTTGGCTGCTGTGAATAAGGTATATACCTTCGTTTTACACTCTTTCACTCAACTGGTCATCTAAACCCCCTCTTCCCTCTGTCAGACCTGTTCTGACTGACTAAATGGCAGCCTGTTGAAGGTGTGGTTAGACTTCTTCATGGCTTTGTACTTGTTTCATAGTGTTGAAACAGTGATTCATGTTCAGCTCACACAGCCTCCATTAATTTCATGTAATGTAGCTTTTATCTCGCTCTCCGGGACAACCATCTCCAGCACTGTCTCACGGGTCAGCATAGTGCTCACAGACTATTGCTTTCTCTCTCTGTTACTCTCTTCCTTCCCGTTTTTATTCTTTACTTCTCTCTCTCTCTTACTCAAGGTTGGCCTGTGGGTCTGTGGGACCTCAGGCCAGACCAATGAAAAAATGGCCATAACATCATCATATTAGACCCTGAAAAATAGTTTTGATCAAAAATACAGGGGAAAAAACAAAATGCTTGAAATATTGTTATGTAAAATAAATGGAAAATGTATAGGCTACATTTTTCAATTGCCCTAATTGAATTTCTGTGAATTGAATTGCATATATTAATTGTGATATATCGTGTGAAAGTAGCTTTTGATGTGATCGACCCGAGTTCGAGTCCGCCTTTTGGAAAACTCGCTCTTCTCCCTTTTCCCATATCAGATCAGATAGGCATTTTTATATATATACAAAAATAAAGAAAACGGAACTGTTGATCAATTTAATGCATCCTTGCTGAATACATTTTTCTTAGTTTGTAAAAAAAACTACTTACTGTATATTTCACTTGTATGAACGACTGGCCCTGTTCTGCCTTTCTGTCTTTCTGCCTTTCTCAGTTACTTCTGTTTCCTGTCATAGGCGTATTTCTATTATAGAGTTCAACTTTAAACCTCAACTGTAAATGATAGGAAGTGTGGTGGAGGTGTTAGATGTAGCTTCAGGGCAATTCTTTCTTATTTCTTTATTTCCGTCCTTTGCACGGTTCTCCGGAGCAGGGCGACACACATCCACTGATTGGGGGAGTTTGGATCAGAGCACAGGAAGAAGTCAAGCTAAGCAGTCACGAGCAGAGAACATCCAGCTCCTCTATCATCCGCCAAACACTTGACCCACAGTAACTCCGCTTTGACAGAGAATCACAGCTTTTCTATGTAAGACAGAGCCTAGTTTCAGGAAAATGTGATTATGAAAGACATCCAGTCGTAGATGTGCTCTCTCTCTTTCCCAGCTTTGTTCAAGAAGGCTGACAGAAGCCCGCTCCTGGTTACGTTTTGCGAACTGTCACTTTCCCGTAAGATAACACCCCTGCACAGAGGCTCGGAAATGCCAAGGTTCAAGTTTACAATTTAAAAGTTTAAATGCAGAACCACGGGTCACCGTGGGCCACAGTAAAGGTCAATGCCATGACGACAGCTGTGGATATTGTTCACTCAGCCCCTCGAGTTACACATTCTATCTTTATCTCTCCATTTTCACTCTGTAATTTTTGCCGTATCCAAATTGGAAATTGGAATTATGCTGGTCAAAAAACATAATCATTTCATACCACATCAAAACCCTAACCAGGTCTTTGCAATTTCTCAAATGGATAATATGTTATTTGCAGAGAAAGCTATGCATGAGGGTGTTTCTAATTCTCTGTGTTTTTACGAGAAGCTGGGCCATAATTATGGAATTGGCAATTCGGCGTGATCATCCCACTGTGCGATCTTCTGAGTGAGCATAGCAGGAGATACAAAGACACCTGTGTCCCAGCAGGGACTGGACCTCCTTTTCTCTCCCGTAACTCTCTTCCGAAATGACATGAAAACATCCGAATAAACCCGTTTCATAGACGTATGTGATTAACTATCAGCGCCTCCACTCATCTGAGCCAAAGAGGCCTTAAAAAGCGAAGCATATTGGCTGCACTCAGTGCCAAGGCGCATCCCTCTCCCCCTTCTCCCCCTTCCGGGCTTCTGACGCGGGCTCACTGGTAGTGCTCTATCCCTGCAGGGGGCCCCGGAGCCGGGCTTGTCCTGACACCGCAAACATATGTAAGGACACCTGAGCTACGGCCTCCAGCCTCCCGCCACCAAGGGTTAATTTTCCACCCAGCAGTGCGGCAGCCAGACTTGGCCAAGTTTCCTGTCGCCCACAGTGCACCACAAGCTGTGTTAGGGAGCCAGCAAACAACATTAATCCTGCCCCTATGACGGATCGCATATGCAAAATGTCCGCCACCCTACGCGTTCACACAGCCAGGCAGGTACGGGGACAGGAAGAAAAGACGACGTACTTGGACAGAGAGGAAGAGAGATTACGGGATCGGAGGAGGAGGAGGGAGACTTGTGACTGTACTTCATCACGCCACTGGAAGTTTCAATCTTCCTTTTGTCTTTAACATTTCAGGTGCCGATGTGTGCGATGCCAGGAAAGGTCAGGAGATGATTTAGTGAACATTTATGGAGGCTTTATCTTCAGTCCTTGTCACCAATTCGGGTGATGCTTCATAGAGGGTCGCCAAACAGACGTGGAAAAAGAAAGAGCATGACAACGCCACAACCGCAATGACACAGTAAGAAAACAAGAATGCACTCTTTCATTAGCAAAGCACCGCTGAGAATAAACACTCTCATTTTTTTTCTCCTCATCCCATTCCCTCTATCTCTAAAAGGGGGAGTAGACTTCTGGTATAGACGTTTCTCAACAGGGTTTCCTCTTTTGTGTGTCCATTATGAAACCTCAGCATGAGAGCCATGTCCATGCGTCCGTGACTGTTCTACAGAATTGAACAATGTCATCTAAACTTTTCCTAACTTTCTTTTTCTGTCATGTCTTGTATGGGAAGCAGCGGTGGTGTGATGGAATTAAGGTAAATTTCCCAACGGAGTAGTTTTTCCTTTGCTTTTTTTCGTGCACAGATGACAACATTGTCAAAACAATCCTCGTTTGCAAGAATCCACAAAAAGGACTAAAAACACTGCATTATGCATGCCAGGCCAGTAGTTGGCGATGTCATTTTGTAAAGAAGCAAACACACATGCATGTGGAGTCGCCATTTTCGCAGATTCCCATTTTTGTTGTTTGCATGGAGGCAATAACAGTATTGCTTTCGAAAACTTGAACCCCGATTTCAAAAGCTTGTGTTTTCAGGCTGCTAAAACACTGTTGTCGTGTAAATGAACGGCCAAAACGAATACATTTTTCAATTTTTATTTGAAAACAGTGAAAAGTAATTTAAATAAGTATATTCAACACTTCCATAATGATTCATTTAATGGTCTATCTATCTATGGTTTTATATATTATACGTTTATTGTTTTAAATATAATTTATATATTTAATAGTCAGTCAAATTCAATTAATTTCAAATTGAATTAAAAAAAAAATCAATTAAATTCAAATTCAGTTAATACAAGCTACATCTTTAATTTTACCAAGCTGCAGTGTAATTTTGTGTTTTGTCATTTCAAGTTTATTTTGATTTTGATGACTAAAATTATTTAATTGTTAGAGTGATGTTCACTTTTTAATTAGCCTGTCCATTTCCACCAGTTTGACCCATTCAGTTCGATTTTAGCAACAACATTATCGTATTGACAGAGTATTTGGCCAATCATAGAGAAATTGAGGCACTACCTCAGTGATTGGGAATTTTGTTTGTATATCGCCACTATTTCTTAAAAAAAGTTTCTCCTTTTGCATCCTCAAACCATGGTTAGCTGATAACAGTCTGTAGTACTTTAGGAATGAAGGACGCGGGACCAACAGACTTCTCTCCTCAGGACTTTGAGCCTTTTTCTCAGTGTCTCAATTGTCCAGCTCAGCATGATTCATCATCTCGCCATCTCATCATCAGACCCGGCACGCCTTTCCACGTTCTTCTTCCCTGTCTTTCTTATACTCCAGAAATCCAGTGTCAGAACACTCTCCTTTTACTTTGGCCCGCATTATTCTTGTTAGATGATGTCCTTGTGCTGTTCAAATCATCCACTTTACAGCTGTGATGCAAAAGTTGTTTTCATATAAAGTGTAAATAATTTTCTGTTTGCTCAGACTTGTTCATCAGGGCTAACTCTTAATTCAAGGGCTTATTCAAAACCTGTTTTCTTGTCTTGCTGTTGTATTGACATCACAAGGTCTTGCTAATGACAGCCTGTCATTTTGGTGGAATTGAAAATGTTATTGTTTTTTTTTGTTTGTTTTTTTTAATACAGTTTAAAGATTACATATTTTAATTTAAGGGAAATCACAGAACCTTGGAAGATCGGGTAGAATAATTTTGGTTAAGTACTCTGCCTCTTTCGTGCAATCAATATAAGCCAGAGGCGTGTAAAATAGTATTACATGTACTTTGCATTTATTTGATTGTTTGTTATTATGCACGGCATGTAGGTTGCTAGGTCTAAGGTCAGCAAAATTACAAAGCGAGTTTCCCTTTGTTTGTGTGGTGTTTCGCAGCATGGTCAAAAGGCAAAGTTCATAACATTTAGACTTACGGTCCCAAAAGCTCTCCAGAATTTCCACAGGCCCATCCCAGAAGAGCTTGAAAAAGTATAACTACTGAAAACAGCATTATTTCAGAAACAACCAAGGGTGACAAGAGGTTTTCATTGCAGATTAAAAATCAATGATCTTTTCAGCTTGTGCCGGCTAGGGTTAGCGCTGCAGAGAAAGAAACGGCTTTCACAACAACCATTTGATTAACCTGGATGATTTTATGTGCTGATAGCGTCCACGGTGAGCAAATCATTATTAGATCTCATTTTCTGCACGGAGAAAACCAGTGAAGCTTAGCTCCACGCCGTGCCCTGTGCATTGAATTTCTGTCTTTGACTTAAATAGGAATAAAGATGAGAGGGGAAACAGTGTGAAAACTCAGCGTGGATGTGGCGAGCCGGAGAGTGCAGGCTCTCTATGCGTGCGGTGCCATAGGAGGGCAGTGCCCGCTGCGCCCTCTGTGTCCGTGTTTGTGTGTACGCCGTAGAGACAAAGGCATAAACCTCCTGCAGCAGAGGTGCTGTGAGTAATGGGTCCAGAATACGCAATACCAACACACTCATCACTCCTCATCCTCCGTAGCCAAGGTCACGGAAAAACTCTGCATTACCTCTACATCTCACTCCTCCTCCGTCTTGCGCTTTCGCTCTCGCTCCCTCAGTCAGGGTGGCCATGTCGCCCTCTCACCCTGCCGACAGCGGGCGGGCGGGCGAGTGAGTGAATGTGTCTCAGGGTTGCTGCTGCGAGCGCTTGATCTGAGAAGCAGAATGGATGGGAGTGTATTGTCAGACTGTCATTCAGCCGGTCTGCAGCAGCAGTAAGCCTTCACAAAATATTAAACTGCTTTCACCACATAAAAGCTGTCCTCTTATACTGCTGACATATGGTTTGAAAAGCCGCCTCTGGTTTGTTTTGGAGAGTTGGAAATTGAACACAACGGCTATTTGAAGTGGGTCGAGGCGCTCTTTCTGAAGCTGAATATACCAGTGACAGTATAGAGAGAAGAAAGCCTTGCCATTACAACCTGTGAGTTTTTGAAAGTTAACAATATAGGCGCGAGGGGAAGGAGATCGAGCTGAGACTTGTATGTGTGTCAAGTGGTGTAGAACCGCAAACATCGGCCTCCAGCTCTCACCAAAAGAGCAAAACTTGGGCCCCCATTCACACGTGGTTTTACAATCACCTTTGGGATGCAATCGCAAGTGGTTAGGCGAGATCTGGTAGTTTCCTCTGATTTTATCACTTACAGTATGTATGTCTCTCACTATGTGTTTTACTTAGTTTTGATAAAGCCCATTTGAATTATATTATAACATACTATTACTATTATCATTAAGTACATTTTGAACATGATTAACTTGAATTTGTATCCCTGCATGAGGATGTCAGTCTTTTGCATTTATTTATTCCATTTCAAATGTTTAAATTAGTAGTCAAACATGTCAATTTATTTAGAACAGTGGATGATTGACAGGTGAGTATCAGAACAGATCAGTGTTGACACTATACATACATTTTCATCTCAAATCAGTTCTATTTTAGTGTGATTTACTATTATACTATTTATATTTTAAAATAGTTTTTATTTATATCTTTTCATTTTAGTTTATATTTTATCCATATTTAATATACAGTATATATAGTAAATATTACTATTTAGCTTTAAATTTATTTTTATTTGAGTTTTAATAATTTTACTGCTTTAAACTTATTTTATTTTTTTGCCAAAGCTTTTTTTCTAATTTATGTTTTTCAGCTAATATTTACACTGTCAAAAAAAATCCTATAAAAAAACGGTAAACTACTGGCAGCTGTGGTTGCCAGCATCGTACCGTAAAAATACGGTGTGTTACTGTTTTTGAAATTAACAGCTACATACCGTATTGTCAGCTACAGTAGAAAACTTTAATTTAACAGCAATATGCTTTAACACAAAAACAGTAACACAGAGAATAGTTACAGTATGATGCTGGCAACCACAGCTGTCAGTAGTTTACGTTTTTTTTGTTGTTTTTGTTGTTTTGTTTTTTTACAGGATTATTTTTTTACAGTGAATATTTTATTTCAGCTAAAGTTCATAAAAGTAAACCATAAAATATTTTTTTTTTATTTTAGTAAACAATAATAACAGAGCTCCGAATGTGATTTGCAATATTGAATCACAAAACATTTTGCACCCCGTTTACACTTGTATTAAGCGCTCACCCCTTGTAATTGGATAATGTGATGGGTCTCGGATGTAAACGAGGCCATGGAGGTGTTCTTGCAAACTTCTGGCAGTGTCTCTCTAGTTCTCCTCACCTTCTCTGTGCTCATTTTTACACTTACATGAAATCTATCCCACACCCTCCCAAGCAGTGCTGGCTCAGAGAGAGATAACAGTGGATTTAGTCCCGGCTGGGCCAATGATTTTCACATCGAAAATGCTATTCATATCAGAGAAGCTGCCTGAACATCAGGCAAGAGAAAAGGTGTGAAATAGCGCGACCAATCTGGAGAGTTCTGGGCAGACAGACAGTGTAAGACTGTCCAGGTGTCTTATAATATGAGGATTAGAGCTTTGCCAAGGATTGAGCAGCACAGGCCTGATATGAAAAGAGAGAGAGAGAGAGAGAGACTTACTGAGGACTTCAGAGACATCAGAGGAACTGCCTGTGCTGGCAGAGTGCCACAACCAAGACCATCATTTTCAACCCCAAAATTAGAGAGGTGACCATCTGACAATAAAACAGCCCGTGGAGAGGAGAAAAAAAAAGAGGCAGACTTCCATTATAAATATTAATCAAATGGAAGCCTTTCAGGGATGGCATTTCTCTGCAGGAAAAGATGTAGTACTTGCCTGTCAGGGCAGCAGTGGAGGTCAGCATGGCATTTCCCTCGAGTCAAACTTGATTTAGCCCTTTTTGCCAGTATACAATATAGAATATTAAAACCATATGATATTAAAATAAAATAAAAATAGAGCAAGATAAACAACTGAGAAAGTGTACTTTTCTAATGTTGAGAAGGAAAAATGCTAAGGTTACATCCTCTTCTGTTCTATTGTTTTTCTGCAGGTCTTTAACCAGTCCAACTCTTGGCAGGTACAGAACACTAAAGGACCATTTTATTTCTAAATGAGTCTGAATGGCGCTCCACAAAGACTGGAAATGCTGCTGCCCTTTCATTTTAAATGGTACGTTGGCATTTAACATTACACATGTCAGCAGAACTTCACTCCATTTATGGATTCTTAATGTATGTGTATTTGTTCAGAGCCACTTATGATATTGTTGTCATGGGCTGTGGAAAGGGACATTTAACATGTAGATAATGAAAAAAAAAATCTCTTGTGATCATAAATTAATTAATAATCTACTTTCAAAACCTCCTTCACTTCCCCATAGCAAAAAAATTCTTGACTTTCACTTTCATGTATTAATAGATAATACATGGTAATACATGGTAACGAAATCATTCATTCATTCATCGTTTTTTCTTTTTCTTTCTTTCTTTCTTTCTTTCTTTCTTTCTTTCTTTCTTTCTTTCTTTCTTTCTTTCTTTCTTTCTTTCTTTAATAAACTACTATTTTTATATTTACAGCAAAATATATGCTTGAATTTGCATTTCCTTCTGCCTTTTTATTTCAATTTTGGTGTGAAAGGGCCTTTACATTTGCCCAAAAATATAACATTTTTGTTACAAGAAGCAAGAAAAGTAATGCAAAAGAAATGTAATGCACTACTTTTCTTTAAATGTAACTATTAGTTACATTTGAAAGGAGTAATATTGTAATGAATTACTTTTCAAAGTAACTTTGTGTGTGTGTGTGTGTGTGTGTGTGTGTGTGTGTGTGTGTGTGTGTGTGTGTGTGTGTGTGTGTGTGTGTGTGTGTGTATTTATGTAGATGGATGGATGAATTGATGGATTTTTAAAGTTACTTTTACACATGTATATATGAGGAATACAAATGCCACCCGCTTTGTATAATGCCACTTACTGTATATCTGGCAATACTGTACTCTATATATATATACTGTATATATATATATCTTTTGTTTCTTTTCTTTTTCTTTTTCTTTAAGCAGTATACATGCCTACAGCAGTATCTGACAATTCTCCCCTCCTTCAAACTCTCTCTCCCATTTTCCCTTTTTTCTGTCCTCCCATTATGAATAATGAACTTGTCCTCCTATGATCAAGTCTATTGGGGATTTCCGCTGCGTGTGTCAGGGCCTGTCTAATGGATTGCTGTATGCTAATTTGGCTAGAGGATGATGGGCAGTTCTCTGCTGGGGTCACCGGTGAAATAAAAGAGCCCTTTGTGCGAGTCTGAGCCATGTGCCTCTGACAGACCGGCACAGACCTTGAGAGTCTTCCTTTATACTTGTGCACAGCTACTGGAGAACGAAGAACAATGGCGAACACCAGGCAATGTCACTATTGATTTAGGGAGGGATGTGTGTCTTGGTGTCCTAGACCTCCGTAAACTCCTTCAAAGTGTGTAGGTAACCCGCAACACACTTTTGGATGGTTTCGGATAAGCTGCTTCCATCCTCTGCGACCCAGCATCAGTCACACTGGCCCATTTCCAACCCTCAGTCCATCAGCCATTAGGCCAATAATGAAGTAACCTCACATGGTTATTGACTGGGTTGTCAGTAGCCCTGCCTGAGTCCTTAATAGGAGTCATTGGTCTTAAGTTAAAAAAGGGCTGAAGGAGGTAGAGCAGGCCATGCACAGCATCTCAAGTGCCCTGCAGAGGTGAGCAGCTGCCAGCCCATGCGAATTATCTGGCAGAGACGAGCTTCTGTCTGGATGAATGAAAGATTCTGCCATTCAGCCATGGGATCAGTACAAACAGAACTCATTTAGTGTGGTGGGCCTTTGCATAAGAATATGTATAGCACATTTTAAAGAGTTAAAAAGATGTTTTAACAGCAAGTATTGTGTCTACTGTCATCTTCAAAAATGAAAATTGTGTCTTTATTTATTCACCCTCATATCTTTCCAAACCTGTATGTTTTTTTTTTTTTCTTTCATTAGACACAAATACCCCACTGACTATTGTAACGCTTGACGTGGAGCAAGTCAAATTTGTAGTTTCCTTATGTAGATTCCCAATCTGGGAATCTTACAGTTCATAGCATGGTTATAGCAGATATAGGACCGCAAAGCATATCAAAAGTGCCTTTCACCCTGTTAAGAATTAATGAACCACTGAAAATGAACACTTAATGAACAACTGATTTTGGAAAAAAATCTTACTTAGTGTTGCTTTAATGCAGCAATGAGCCGTTTGAGGCCTGATACCCTTGTATACATGTATACTTACATTATGAAGTGTGGCCAGGATATAAATCAAACATTCACGCTGCCGTTCAAATGTTTGGGGTCGGTATCAATATTTTAAGCTCTCTAACACTGATTTATTTGATCAAAATACAGTAAAAAGGGTAATATTATGACATTTTACTTGTTGTCTATTTTAATTCTGTATATTTTAAAATGTAATTTATTCCTGTGATGGCATAATTCCTGAATTTCCAGCATCATTACTCCAGTCTTTAGGTCAGAAATTGCTCAGGAAACATTTCTTCTTATTATGAATGTTGTAAAAGGTTGTCTTGCATTAGCTATATTTAGTTGAAACAGTGATATTTATGAGGATTCTTTTTGAAATCCTTTTTTGAGAATTTTGTGGCGTTATAAATGTCTTTAATAGTATTTTGATCAACTTAATGGATCCTTGCTAAATAGAATGTATTAATTTCAAATAAATAAGTTTAACTGACCCTAAACTTTGAATGGAAGTGAACACTTCACCAAAGAAAGAAACACAAATATAGAATGACACGCGGGTGTAAATGATAGAATCTTCTTCTTTTTGCATTATTTTTAAGCATCTCTCTCTCTCTGTGTCTCTCTCTCTTTCTAATTTCAGGCTATCGGGTTCATCATGCACAGAAAACTCATCACAGAAAATGAGCGGGTTGGAGAAGAGACAGGAGATGTGAACTGTCCCTCTGAAGTTTACTAAAAATGTCTGATGGTTTCACCCAGACAGTTAGGAGAGCTGTGTCTGAATGGGATCCAAATCTCTGGTATGTGGTGTAGTAATGACAGAGAAATGTTGTCCTAATTATTGTAATTTCCTTTGATTTAGAAAGTTGGTGTAGTTTTAATTGAGTGGACAAATTTAGCTGTTCGACAGCTGAGTTCATGAATGTGACTCTTTCTTTCTTTCTTTCTTTCTTTCTTTCTTTCTTTCTTTCTTTCTTTCTTTCTTTCTTTCTTTCTTTCTTTCTTTCTTTCTTTCTTTCTTTCTTTCTTTCTTTCTTTCTTTCTTTCTTTCTTTCTTTCTTTCTTTCTTTCTTTCTTTCACATGTTATACTTTTTACGATGTCTGCTAGATTACTCTAAACTGCTATATATATATATATATTTTTTTTTTTTCTTATTCAATGAAAATGTATCTTCCAGTGATTATACATGAAGATAAATTTCAACCCAAACTCAGCCCAGCATTTTATTCTCTCGGGTATCATTTGGATTGTGGCTTTAAAACATTCCCATTGCTCCTGAGAAATAGGAATGCATCAGTAAAATGAGATAGTTAGCATGTATTTCTTATAACGGATGATTTGTGTGGCAATCTGTCTGTTATGACTGAACCTTTAGCATATCACACTACCATCAAAACCTCGTTTTCTGACCGAACTCATGTAAACATGTGAAATTGAATTGAGTTGGTTCCAATCAGAATGCCAGATGAATGAGATGCCCGTGTTTAGATGTCCTGCAAAGGGGGCAAACAGTTACCATAGCTGTATTTACACTATCAGACTTTCCGTATGAATGTACAGGGTTATTGATAGGTTCCAGTTCTCATGGCTCTTTTGGTATTGATGAATGGCAGTGGGTGTGGTGTGATGGCTCGTGTGTTGTCATAATTCGTGATGAGTCGAGCATTCTGGCTGGCTTTATGGCACTTGTGGGCTCGATTTGAAAGGAATAAGAGGGTGTTTTAAGGCAGAGTGGATTTCAGTCTTATCCCGACTAATAACCTTGTGTATATTACTCAACTTTCATTCAGCTCTAACTGAAACATTGTGCAATAACATGTCTAGAAGCAAGATTTAATAATTGCATTTGGGTTTTGTGAGTTCAATGTTGTTTATGAAAGTGTATTGTTCCTGCAGCTGTCTAGATGTGATTTGAAAACATACGAAAGCCTCAAAACTGTTTGATCTGTTGGAGTTGAATCTGATCATTAATCATTAGCAAAAATTATAGTGTAAGATGATACAAAAATAGGATTATTGAGATTTGGAAATACAATCCTAAAGGAAAAGGTTTTTTTGTATAAGTTTTGCTTTGTTTGTATGTTTAGTTTTGTGTTTGAGACTTAGGCTGCATCACACTATATGAGTTAAGGGCCCACTTGAGTGCTTTTGAATGCGCAGCGTTGTATGATCCGTTGACATAATTTCCAATGAAACAGGAAATTAATGCGAAAATATTGAATGGCTCCTCCCCATTTTCAAATAGCTAGTAGTGTTTAGTTTACCTGACAAGGTAAGTCAGGACAGCACCATGGAAGCGAATCCGAGCACTGATTATACAGTTGGAAAACAGAATAAAACTTGAACGTTTGAACAACCAAACACGCATCTCCAACTAATATTGTTCGGTGTCGTGTCGTTTGGAGACGCTTCCGATTGATTGGACAGAAGATGTGATGATGTGCTTTCATTTTCTCAAGTTTCTCATTCTAGGCCAGGGGTGTCCAATCCTGCTCCTGATGGGCCTGCAAAGTTTAGTTCCAACCCCAATTAAACACACCTGAACCCGCTAATTAAAGTCTTCATAGGCATACTAGAAACTTCCAGGCAAGTGTGTTGAGGCAGGATGGAGCTAAACTCTATGAAAGTGGCCCTCCAGAACCAATGACACCATGAGGACACCCCTGTTATAGGCTCTACTTGTTATAGTCTCCTTCAGATTTCCTCATAATTGTTCGACGTGGTCTATAGGTTAACATGTGAGCTGTGACACATCCAGTTCACCCATCTATCCTAACTAAAATATAAATCATTTCTATTCGATAAGATTCTATCAAGTTGGCTCTCTTATTTTTCTCCCCACTATTAGAAGTGTTGAAGTAACCTGAAGAGAAACATAAAACTATGGCTGTCAATATAATAATTGTGATGTCTGAAAGCATAAGGAAACATGTAATACTTTATTCTCTAACATTAAATCGGCTCTAGACATAAACTTCGCTATACACATGAATAGTCATTCTTAGAGTCCATTTCCTTAGCTTATCACTGCGCTACAGTGGAGCTGAGGCCTGAGGGCTGTGTGTATCTACGCAGCTCATTCACCCTCAGTCGCCTGAATGAGAAATGTGCATCTCTTCCAGCACTGACAACAAACCACGACTGCATGTCCCCAACAAAATAAAGCTCCCTCACTCAGTCAAGAAAAGACAGTGGGGTTTAGTTTTCTGTGTGTGTGTGTGTGTGTGCTTGCGCCTGTGTGAGTTTAAGAAGCTCCCTCTCCTTATTTTGTCTTCCCAAGGTTACGGTCATCTTTTTATACGGGATTATAAAAGGTTTCAGCCCGATGGAGGTGTTCAGTGTTATTTTGTAATTAGAATGTAATCCTCCTCTCATTGCACACATTCATTGGTAGACGCTCCCTGCATGCAATTGGAATAATGTGAATGAAAATTGTGAATAATAGCTGCGTGTCTCAAAGTAGCTTCTTTATAGGAAAAGGAACTGTAGAAAAACACATAAAATCCCCGTCTCACTGGTACTTTTAAAGATAGATTTGTCGAACAAAGGTTTAGTTTTATTACAAACTCAGTGTTTGTTTTCATACAACCTGCCTTGGTAATGAAAAAGCTTGCAACTACAATCGGACTAGACCTATATTCAGATTAAAAAAAAAAAAAAAAACTACAGATATCAAGAAAAAAAACAAATAAAAAAGGCAACATGGTAAGAAGTCTCATGAAAAAAAAATGTGAGAAAAGTTGGAGACAGAAGGGACAGGAGAAGGTAAAAAAGGGAAAGGTTAGTTGGGTGGCCTTTATAGATCTTTATGTCTGTTGAGGGGATCAGCAGGCAGCGGCTGATGAACTTCACTTTCTATTAGTGGCCATGGTGGGGATGTTCTTCTCCCTACCGATCAATAGGCTGAAGGACAAGAGTGTCAGAAAAATGAGAGACCCTTCTCTTTCTTGGCAGGGCGGTCTCAGAGCGGACGGTGAGGCACTGAGTGCCAGAGACCCTTAGTCCCTCTGGAGTGGCTTTGAGTGAGGGAGCCATTTTGGGCGGGGGCGCAGAGGAACTCTCATCATCCGTTGTCCTTCGGTCCACCAGCCGAAGGACTCCACAAAACCTATTCTGAATGGTTGGAGGTTGCTTTGTTTCATCTATGATTGTACTATACAACAGGGAAGTAGCAAATTAACAGAGCTATAGGAACTTGTAGAAACTCTTTCTATTTTGTCTCATTCTTAGAATATTTCAAAAGTAAAGTTCTGTTGGCAGCATTTGTTACATAATGTCAACTGTAAGTGTCATATTGATCGTATACAATAGTTAAAGGGATAGTTCATTTTAAAATTAATTTTGATATGTTTTAGCTTACCTCAAGGGCATCCAAGATGTAGGAGTCTTTGTTTCCACATTATTTTCAATTTTGATATTTTTAGGTCAAACCGTTCTTGTCTGTCAGTCTTATAATGGAGGTGTATGGGGTCCACCTCAAAGAGCATGCACAGAGAAGTCCAAATAAACATGATTTTTTTTTTTGTGACTCGTAAATATACACATTGATGGCCTAAGACACGAAACGAGTAGTTTGTGTGAGAAAACGAACTGTATTTATATTGTTTTTACCTCATTTAACCACAGCCATGTCCAAGTGATCTGAGGACGTGGATGCTTTGGTCTGCGCAAGCGCCGGATGTGATCTCTCGCGTGTGTACGTCACTCAATGTTTACACAGAGATTTTGGAAGCATTACCTTTCACTATGGAGATCTAAACATTTTTAGATATACAGGACATCGCAATGGAAGACAATTTTGGTATATCAACAGACAACGTTGAATTTTTTCTGCAACCACGTGAGAGATCGCTTCCGGCGCTTCCCAGCGCTTGCGTAGACTGATGCGCCCGTGGCCTCAGATCATTTGGACATGGCTGTGGTTACAAGAGGTAAAAACAATATAAATACTGTTAGTTTTCTCACACAAACGGCTACTTTCGTGTCTTAGGCTATCAATGTGTACTTACATTTAACCGTCATTAATTCATGTTTAATTTGGACTTCTCTGGGCATGCTCTTTGAGGTGGACCCCATAAACCTCCATTATATGACCGACTGACAAGAACAGTTTGACCTAAAAATATCAAAATTGAAAATACTGTGGAAACAAAGACTCCTACATCTTGGATGCCCTTGAGGTAAGCTAAAACATATCAAAAATTAATTTCAAAGTGAACTATCCCTTTAATATGATAGAAGTTAAAATGTAGTAACTAACATTTTAGATACAATATTTCTGTCAATGAAAATTGCTCCAAAGGAAGCAAAATGAATCGTTCCACGTATCTGAACAACTCACTGTAGCATTGTTTTGAACAAATCGATTGAATTGGATTGAGTGAATTATTCAACGACTAACTGACAGTAACTTGTTTCAACCCTGAATTAATCAGTTGAGTGAATGAGTCAATGTCACTTTGGTAACTCTGCTAATTAAATTTAAAGTCTGAAACTATATGTTATTAATAATAATAATAATAATATACAGTATATGTTGCTGTATATATTATTGTCATTTAAACTCTTAACTGTTAACCATTTTGCCGTTGTGCTGGACCTGAAAGATTCCTTTAAATGTTGTCTCCTGATTAACTCCTGTCAATTATAAGATTACAAGAGCTCTCATTTACACTTGTGTGCTGTTCCCTGGACTGCATCAGCCCAGGAGAACAAACTGCAGAGGAAAAAGAGTGAATCACTCCATCAGAGACAGTTCTTTGATAGCTTCTGTGCTTTTAGGACTGAGGGTTAGTGTC